GTGTTGGTTGCCCCTAAGCATGCAGTCCCCTGCTGGCCCCTCATGGATGTGTGCCAGAATAATTTTCTCATACAGCTTGCCTAGGATCGAGGTAAGACTAACTGGCCTATAGTTTCCCGGGTCCTCCTCCTTCCCCTTTTTGAAGATGGGAACCACGTTGGTCCTCTTCCTGTCCTCCAGCACCGCACCAGAGCACCACGAGTGCTCGTAAAGCTGTGCCAGGGGACCTGCAATGACCTCAGCCAATTCCTTTAGTCAGTTCCTCTAGACAAGATGGAACTCAGTAGTGTATCAAGCAGTATTGCAGTTGTAAGAGAATTTTTCTGTCAGCTTGGGCTCTACTGGAGTGGGGAATGGCAGGATTGCAGGCTAAAAATAACTTTCTGAAGCTGAGGTGGGAGAAAATATTGCCCATCTGATGGCAATATCCTAAAAGTTCCTAATATTGCAGTGCAGCGGTCAGATTCCACTGACATAATTCACCTTTCATTGGAATACTTTTGGAGGATGGAATAGAAATGGGGAGGAAAGGGATAAAGGTGTAGGATTTTGAAGGGAGAGCCACAGCCCCTCCAGGGAAGAGGGGCATGCAGACTTGAGAGACATGTGCAGGGGCTCCCCTTTGGAAGAGATAGTGGAGGGAGAACGGGCCCACAATGGCAGACCAAAATGTGGGAAGAGGGTTTCTGTCTGCATAGGGCCCAGATATGAATGGAAGTTTAGAGTGGTGGGGGGGCAGAGTGTTGCTTTGTAGAGCTTGCTTGTTTCATACCTTGAGCTTCACTGTAAGCTATCCTAAGCCACCTTTTTATACAGGGGGGCATAAATGCATGTGAATGCACATGTTTTATGTAAAGTCATTTGTTCTGATGTGTTGTCTTTGTCTTGGTTTAATCGGAAGAGTACTTCTTACCTGGCACAGCTACAAAAATCTCTGAAGCATCTACACACACCTTTTGCTTTTTTGACAATCTCGACTAATTCCTACTAGTCTGTATAGCAACATGCAGGTCTAATGGGTTTGCTTAAATGTATATTGCCCTGTAAATTTTAGATTGAAATAAAAATAATTAGACACTTGTATGAGTGTTTTTTAGCTGTATCTTAATCTGTATGGTGTATGGAAATTAGTTCAGATGTTCATAGAGCCTAAAAAGTCCCATTAGTTATGACAGTGTCTTGCTGGTGATCTCCCTTCAGTGTAAGGATTTAAACTTGCTGCTTCCTGGCCTAACATAGTTCTAGCATAACTGTATCATGGCTGAGTACTCAGCAGTTCAAGTACCCAGTTAACTTCTAACCTACACTTGGCCATTGCTAGCACATTAGGTTGTTTCTTGGTAGACTTGCTTTAAGATGATTCTGCAGCTGACAGGACCTGGTCACTGACTTTCAGCTTCTGCCCCTTAGGTGGGTCTTCGAAAATTCACACCTGAACATAAGAGCATTGCTTTTTGCTTCATTTTTTCAAGGGCAAATAACGTTCACTCTGTTTACAGTGACAAGGTGCAGGCCATCTGTTACCTCCAGCTCACACGACAACTGGTTTCCTGTTCAGCTGATGGCGGAATTGCTGTTTGGAATATGGATATCAGCAGAGAGGAGGTAAGAACTTGTGCTAGTGAAAAGATTTACACTGCTGCCAGGCAGACCCATCCTAGAAAATCTTACTAGGTTAAGTTAGTTTTAGTAGCCTTAGCTGTATAAGTCTGTTTCCCAGGAAATGCTAGAAATTCCCAGAAGCTCTAGAAATATTTGGAAGCATTACAGACATGACTAAAGTGTCTCAAAGCTAACTTCAGTGTCAAGTTTTTCAGATGACAACAATATTTCTGAGAGTGCTTGTGCAACTTCTAGCACATCTGTAGTTCTCTTAATTCATTAATCTCCAAAGCCTGGCCAAACACTTGCAGAGAAGGTAAGGGGGGGTGTGGAAACTAAACACTACATCTTGTAAAAAAGATGAGGTTGTGGGTGGTGTCATTAATCCTTCATTAACAGTTGGGGAAAAAGGATGTTAACACTGGAAATGGCTAACTAGATGAGAGTAAAGATGTTCCTGCATTTTTTGGCTTACTCCACAGCCCTTTCCTGATCAGCAGGATCTGGACAACAAGATCCAGCAGACTTCAAACCCTACAGCAAACTAACAATTCAGCTATAGCTTAGTCAGTTTTTCTTATTAAAGTACTGGTAACGCACAGTGCTGTGGGCTAAAAGCCGTGTGTCGGAGGTGCACGGAGATCTTGTTAACAAATAACTGCAGTTATGACTCCTTCCTCCTGCACGTAGCTCAGCACTGTATACTCTGGTTTTTGTGTGGCTAACTTCATGCAAGACAGTTTTTAGAACAACTAGTGTAATGCCTTTTAATGTCCAGAGCTGTTGCAGGGAGTATTTCTTTAAATTTTACTGTGAACATCTAAAACAGCCCCTACTGGTCATGGTACAGATGATGACTAATATGCCAAGACTGGGATTCTTTTGTTTCTTTCCCCAGGCTCCTCAATGGCTAGAAAGTGATTCTTGTCAGAAATGCGAACAGCCTTTCTTCTGGAATATAAAGCAGATGTGGGACACAAAGACACTAGGGTTGAGGCAGGTGAGGATATGACTCCTAAATCTTCTGCAGTGCTTCTACTGTTAATGGACTATGACGTCACAGGTCTCTACAATCTGTCTGTTCTTCAGCACTCTTAAATGTAGGGGACACACCCACTTTTTCACTTATTTTTCCATGTTAAAGGTTTAATTAAAGAAGCCTGTGTGGCTTTAGTGGTCATTGTCTTGTGTTTATATTGGGTGGTGTTGAGTTTGGAGCCAGTGAAAATCATCCCCCTCCCCTTACATTAGGTTGCTGTAGAGGTGGGGAGTGATTTTTTTAAATTTGTCTTAATGAAGTGAGCTGGACTTCAAAGAAAGTACACTATGATTTGGTACAATAACTGTATTGTGAAAGAAGACAAAATGGCTTCAGTGCTTGCATTAGCAAACTGTTACCAGTATGCAGACCCTGCATTGGACGCCTAGATGGTGTATTGGAACACCAATGCTCTTTCCTCTGTTTTGCTGTGTTCGTTCTATAGTGTGCAAGGAGAAATATGTTTACCTTTCTGGGGAACCCATGGGTAGGGAAAGGATGTAGAATATATGGGATAAGAGCCTGGCTCTGGAAGTCTGCCATCATTCCAATTGAATTAAATGGCCCTAGGATTTTACCCATGGGACTATGGTCTTTAGGTGTTAACTGGTATGAAATTGTACTAGTTTTAGTCAAGTGATGCCTCCCAATGAAGTTGCTTTTAGGTAGGCCCCTCATGTTCTGAAATGCCTGTTTTGTTCTTCTTTGAAGCATCACTGCAGAAAATGTGGCCAAGCAGTGTGTGGTAAATGCAGCACCAAGCGGTCCAGCTACCCAATCATGGGCTTTGAATTCCAGGTCCGTGTCTGTGACTCTTGTTTTGAGTCCATCAAGGATGAAGAGTAAGTATTTTGAAAGCTCAATCAACAGTTAACTTCTTCCAACAAGTATTTTGTTTGTTAAAAGTGAGAACTTTCAAAATAATTAGATGAGGTTATTTTGCCCTATCTTTCTGAAGGGGCAGGAAGTTTGGCAAGTTACAGGAAACTGGTAAAGGTACGTGGGGAAACCTACAAGGTTTTTCTTGTTTGGTTGGTTTTTTTTATTTTTAAAGAACAGTAATGTAAAGGAGCATACCAGTACCTACCAGACCTTGGTCCTCTCTAGACAAAGCATAAAAAGAGTTCCACAAACCACAAAGTTCTAGCTCAGGTTTGTGAGCTCAAATCTGCTTTTAAAATTGAACAGAGCCTGGACTAAGCAGGGCTTTCTTATAGGTAGCCACTGTTGTGGGGAATGATTTAGACTTTACAGAAGAGTTGTTTTACTTGACTGTTCTGTATTGCTGTAATGTATTGTCTGGCTGTGTCTAATGACTGTCTCCTATTTAAACTGTTTTATCTTGCTAGTCGTGCTTCCTTGGCAACCTTTCATGAAGGAAAACACAACATTTCCCACATGTCCATGGACATCTCTAGAGGCCTAATGGTGACCTGTGGGAGTGATCGAGTTGTGAAGGTAGGATTACTTCTCTACACAATGTAACACTCCATCTTTATAAAGATAAATGACAGTGTTAAGCCAACAAACCAAATTAACTTTCCTTCTTTTTAGTGGCTGCATTTCTCAGTCTGCTACAAGCTGTGTAGATATGACTCCCCTGACCTTTACTCTTACTCTGGCAACAAAAGGGGGAAAAGATTACTTAGTTGGTGGGTTAACATGGAAATGATCTCCATAGATTAAAAAGATTGCTTTTATAGTTCTGCTAGATTGGGATGATAAAACACTGAATGATAGGGAGATAAAGTCCCTTTAATTTAAAATGCTAAGGATTCAGTTATACAAAGCAATCCCAGCCATGCATGTGACATCCACTGACCTACTGTATATTTGCATAATGAGAATTTGCATCTTAAACTTCCCTAGAGATCATCCTGTCTCTTGTACACTTTAATTTAATTCCCACATGTAATGAGGGGGGAGGCACTTTTGAGTTTAGTGAGCATCTTGGCTGCTTGCAGACAAGAAAAAAACCAAAAAACATGCTTTACTGGAACAAGCAGCACATTACTTCAACCCAGCTCTGCAGCATCTGTATAGATTGGGTGCTTCAGTGGGGCTTTTTGGCACTTTTAGCTAAAACTGATTCAATCAGGTATTGGGTAAAAGCCCCACTAAAGCACCCAGTCTTTACAGATGTTAGGTAAGCCAGGTCCAACAAAAGCGCTGCCTTTTTGGTGGAGGGGGCATGTGTAGGGCTTGGCACAGGAACATGCAGAGTTTACAGTAAAGCACCATTTGCCTCTTGTTTTTTAAGGGCTGCCTGGAGCCCTTAAGACTAGTCTCCTGCATGTGTATATGCTTGGACACTTCTACCTTTTTAAGTATAGGCTAGTGACTACTTCAGACTCTCAAATTTCAGATGAAATATTTATTTCCTGAGAGGAACCACTATGCATGCAATGTCAGTGTAACAGTTTTATCATAAGACCAGGCTAGCAGTAGAGCTTCTAAACAGACCATAGTGAACTTCTTACTATGATTGAGACTACCTGCATTGTTTTTCTTGCCATCACAACTGGTAAGTAACAAGATGCCATCAGGGTCCAGTATACTTGCCTCTGTGTGCTGGGGAAGGAGATATGTGGAAGAAAGCATAGTGTATTCCTTTAACCTGCATTAGATAAAGCCAATCCTTGTGGCATAAGTAGCTCTGAATGCTGCTAAGAACCCTGGCTCCAGTGATGGTGGTGATTAAGCCATGCTGTGGTAATGCCTTTTAGCACCCTCCTACCCTCTGCTGTCTTTATGTGCCCTCACCTGGTTGTACACACTTAATCGCCTCCTAGCTCCTGAAAAATGTACCCTCATCAAACAGTAATGGTTTTGCATGTCAGCAACATCCATCTTAACTTTTAGATGTGAAGCTGGGGTTAAGCCAACAGCAGTTCCTTCCTACCATTGTATAGGACAAACTTTTTTGGAAGTAGTGTGTCTTGTTTTGGCAGGTGGTCAAAAAGAGATTTAAATTGTTCAATATTGCCTGATGTCCTGTGCAATTCCCCATATTGTGTTTTCTTTCAGATATGGGACATGACACCAGTAGTTGGTTGCAGCCTTGCAGCTGGCTTCTCATCACGCTGATGTGGGACCTAACTGATTTATGCACCTTATGTACAGCACCATGCACCAAATGAATGAAGTCCCTCCTAAGTTTATTGCCACAAAACACTGGTTGCTTGATCTTCTGCTGCTCTTCCAGGCTGGACAGTCACTGTTGTACAGCACAGCTCTACTGGACTTGACAGGAATCACCTTGATTACAGAAATGCAGTTTTGCAGCCTGTTAGATGATTGGGGTGCGGGGGGAAATAGCTTCACCTGCAACATGACACCATGATGCAAGGACCTGGTTTACATGTGTTTAACAATGTGCTCTGTCTGCTGATAACTCTTTAGATACTGTACAGGAAGGACTTATCAGAGTAAAATGGGTTTAATGCTCTTAAATTTGTGCAAGTAGTAAATAACTTATTCTCACTTCCAGTAAGCAGTCTCTTTGGAACTACTTGTCTGGTATATAATCACTGTCTAGATTTGCCTCCAAAGGGCATATTTGGTTAACTTTTTGGAAGGAGGAAATACATCTTTCTTTTAAGCAGCATTTGATTAACAGGGTAGACATTCCCATAGAGGCAGCACTGGAAGTAACTGTTTTGATTTGTAGGAAATCTTATCCACTAGCTGGCTTGGAGTGTTGTCTGCAAGTTCAGTTATATGAAAACTCATTTTTGTAAGGCATCTGCTCTGTTCAGATAGCTTGCAACCATCTGCAAATAATCCCAGGCTCTTAGACATGCTCAAGTTATATTTAGACCCTCTTTTGGCTAATATGTATACTTTTATAACTCTTCTATAGTAGAAAAAAACTGCATGTGCTCACAAATAGTGAGAGCAGCCCATGATATGCCTCAAACCATATGCACAGTACAGATTTATTACAGTACTGTTCCAATGGAGAACCATACAGACCTTTCTTTGAGTGTAATGTTAAGAAAAATAGTCCCCTATATAATCCTAATGGATTAGACCTTTCTTTTTGTAGAAAGGTTGATAGTTCCTTCCTTTTTATAATGAAGAAACTGTCTGCAGTTAAAATGTAGCATTAATTTGAATACTATCTTGGTTTTGCTTTTAAAATTGATGTTTAACCTTGCTGAAATATTATTTTCTAAAGCAATAATTTACCAAGGTACTGAATATTTCCTGAGAATAGTTGCCCTCCACTACACCTCGGGTCTAATGCTAGGAAATGTTGTCTATAGTACTGTTCCTTGTCTCTTCTAACCTGAGAACAGTGTGGTAAAAAACTGTGGCACTTCTGTGGGTGGTGCATTTGCAGGGAATGTCTAGATAAATATAGTTGTGATCCATTGGTCTGTCAGTTATAAGTTGCCTACATTCCATAAATATTTGTGTAATACCATAAGGTTATTGGCTTACAAAGGCATATTAAGTAGCAAAAACAAACTTTTTAAGTTTTTCAGCTTTATCATGATAGTGCATGGTGCTTTATCATGTGCTTTATCATGGTAGTGCATGACCAAGTGGTGCTATGGATATTAGAAAACTAAAATTTATTGTTGTGTATCTTGATAGGTGGTGATGATTGCATTCGGTAACATACTGCAGCTAGTGATTTGTGATGTATTATCAAACCCTGATCTTAACAATGGACAACTGTTATCTAAAAGTAAGCTTAATTGGGTATCCATTGAGGCACTAAAATCACATTATCAAATTTTAGCACTGGTCCTCTTCCTTTAAACC